GCTAAAGTCCAAGCAGATGACATCCACGGACTTTCGCTCGTCAGCTCCCCGTGCTCCTGCTGAGTTGTGCTGCATCCTTCTGCTGGTCCCGCCCGTGCTTTCTGAGCCATGCGAGGAGGGCAGACACCCCATCGCGTTGCAGCAGCGGGCATGGGGAAGGGCCCCTGGGGGCTTCTTCTGGGTGCACGGCGGCTCCAGCCCCTGCTCCAGCCCGGTGCTGGGGATCTTGGCTGACCCCCCATCCCTGCAGAGGGGATCAGCCCAAGCACCGGCTTGTTGAAAAAAAGCCAGTGCCACCAGCATCCTGCGCGGGTGCTGGTGCTCCTGGGGGTTGCTGCTTTCTGACAGAGAGTTGCCCCGAGCCCAGCTGTCCCCCAGGCCCTTGCAGCACTGCACAAGGATACTATGCTGTGCTCCACAAATCCCACCGGTGCTTCTGCTCCAAGCTCTGATGCTGAGATGTCCCAGTGCACCCAGCAAGCCCAGTTCAGGACGCAGAGGGTGCTCACCGTGGGCACGTCCAGCTCAGCATGGCAGGGACAGGGACAAGCACCATGCCCTGAACACGCTCAGCCTTTGCTGTTACCTCCCCCTGCCCAGCAGATATGTGTCTTTTTTTTACCCTTGTATTTACCATGCAAACCATGGAAAAGCTGGTTTCTCACTGGGATTTCCCCTTCTCTCCCCTCTCCGCAGAGTTGTGAGAACCATAGAAGGAGCGTGGCAGGAGGATGGAGAGCCAGCTGGTGGTGAATGGCCACGCTGCCGCCTTCTCCCACCAGGAAGATGCTCCGGGAGCAAACGCCCTGCACCAGGACATGCTACTGGGCAAGCAGAAAAAAGCGACTGGCGGGGACGCAACGGCAACGGATGCTTCTCAGGAGCCCTCGGGGGAGGTGGGCAGCATTGCCGGAGTGTACGTGGAGGCTGCGAAGAAGATTCTGAGCTTTTACGATGCCACCAGGGAGCATCTTCTGAGTCTGGACTCGGCGCTGGGTCTCCTTGAGGCACAGGCGGCCACAGGCTCCATCGTGGACCTGACGGAGAGGCGGCACGTGTCGGTGGCCGAAGCTGTGCAACTGGGGCTGGTGGGGTTGGAGTTGAAGGAGAGGCTGCTCTCCGCTGAGAAAGCTGCCATGGGCTTCGTGGACCCCTACACGGAGGAGAAAATCCCCCTGTTCCAGGCAATGCAGAAGGAGCTGGTGGGGAAGGAGCAGGGAACACGGCTGCTGGAGGCCCAGATGGCGACCGGTGGCATCATGGACCCAGCCACCGGCCGCCGGCTCCCTGTGGACGTGGCCTGTGAGAGGGGATATCTGGACGAAGAGGTGAGACAGCTCCTGTCTGACCCCAGCAACGAGGACACCAAAGGGTTCCTCAACCCCAGCACGATGGAGAAGGTCACTTATGCCGAGCTGAGGAAGAGTTGTGTTGTTGATCCGGCCTCAGGCTTTCTCCTCCTGCCCCTGCAAACCACCTTCCTGGGGCTGGGAGGGCGGGTGAGTGGCAGAGACCTGCTGGATGCCGGCATCATCAGCCCTGACATCTTCAGAGGCCTCGAGGAGGGACGAGTTTCTGCGCAGGAGGTCATGGAGAACGACTCAGTCCAGCCATTCCTGCGTGGGACGAGGACTGTGGCTGGGGGCGTCCTGTGGCTGGTGTCGTCCGGCCTTCCGGCAAGCGGAGGAGCCTCTACCAGGCACTGCGAGAGCATCTCCTGGTGCCCGGTGCTGCTCTGATGCTCCTGCAGGTCCAGGCCTCCACTGGCAGCCTGGTGGACCCCATAAAGAACAAAATCTACTCAGTGGATGAGGCTGTCAGGGTCGGTCTCGTTGGCCCAGAACTTCATGAGAAGTTGTCTTCAGCTGAGAGGAGCATCACCGGGTACCGGGATCCCTGCACTGGGGAGATGCTCTCTCTGTTCCAAGCCATCAGGAAGGGCTTTGTCTCCAAGGACCATGGCATTTGCCTTCTGGAGGCTCAGATGGCCACGGGGGGTCTCATTGCTCCAGGCAGGCACCTCCGTGTCCCCATGGAGACAGCCTGCAAGTGGGGGTACCTGGATGAGGCCACAAGACAGCTCCTCTCCAGTCCCACTGATGACATGAAGGGGTTCTTTGACCCCAGCTCCAAGGAGAAGCTGCTCTACATGGACCTGCTCAAGCGCTGCGTCACGGACCCCACCACGGGGCTCCTGCTACTGCCCCTTGATGGAGACGATGGAGAGGGATCCGAGGGAACCCACCTCCTCTTCCTTGACCATGGGGCCCAGACAGCTCTGGAGAACACACTGGTGCCCGTCACTTTGGGCAAATTCAAGGGGAAGTCGGTGTCTCTCTGGAAGCTCCTCTTCACAGACTATATCCAGGGCGAGCAGAGAGCTGCTCTCGCCAGGCAGTACCTCGCGGGAACGCTCTCAGCACAAGAGCTGGGTAAGGTCATCAGTGCCACCATTGAGGAGATGGCTTCTGCTGACAATGTCACCTTCAAAGGGCTGAGGGACCGGGTGACAGCTGACCAGCTCCTGAGCTCAGAAATCATCAACAAGGATTTGTTCGAGAAGCTGAAGGAGGGAGAGACATCGGTCACAGAAGTCGTTGGCATGGACACGGTCAAGAAGTACCTGCAGGGGACGGGCAGCATCGGCGGGCTCCTGCTTCCTGACTCCCAGGAGAAGATCAGCATCTACCAGGCGAAGCGGAAAGGACTTCTAAGGCCAGGAACGTCTCTGATCCTCCTGGAGGCACAGGCTGCCACAGGATTTATCATTGACCCTGCAGCCAACAAACGGTATTCGGTGGACGAGGCATTACAAGCCAATGTCATCGGCCCAGATGTCTATGACAAGCTTCTGACTGCAGAGAAATCTGTCACCGGCTACAGAGATCCTTACACGGGCGACAAGATCTCCCTCTTCCAGGCCATGCAGAAGGACCTCATTGTCAAGGAGCACGGCATCCGCCTGCTGGAGGCCCAGATTGCCACCGGTGGCATTGCCATCGCCGCCCCCGGGCCCACCCCCCGCCCCCCCGTGGAGGGGGCCTACCGGCGCGGCTACTTCGACAAGAAGATGAACTTGATCCTTTCTGACCCCAGCGACGACACCAAGGGCTTCTTCGACCCCAACACCCACGAGAACCTCACCTACCTGCAGCTGAAGGAGAAGTGCATCACGGAGCCATCCACCGGGCTCTGCCTCCTTCCTCTCAACAGCAGGAAGCCCCAGTTCATCGATGAGGCCACCAGACGGCTGTTCAGGAGCTCCTGGCTGCCCGTCAGGTTTGGGCGATTGCGGGGGGAGAAGGTCTCTGTGTGGGACCTGCTGAACTCTGAGTACTTCAGCGAGGGAAGGCGTCGGGAGATCTTCAACCACTACCAGCTGCGGAAGCTCACGCTGGAGCAAATTCAGATCATGTTGGAGGAGGAAATGAAAAAATGGGCCCCCATCAAGTTCCCAGCCATGAGAGGTAGCGTCAGTGCCTACCACCTGATGGAAACGGGTGTCATCGACAAGGCCCTGTTTGAGAAGGTGCTGGAGGGGTCTGTCACGCCGGAGGAAGTCCTGCACATGGACTCTGTCCGAAAGTACCTCTATGGCTCCGGCAGCATCGGTGGGATTGTCCTCCAGCCGTCAAACCAGAGGATGAGCTTTTACGAGGCCTTGAAGAAAAACCTCATGGTGCCAGGAGTAGCCCTCCCACTGCTGGAGGCCCAGGCGGCCACAGGCTTCATCATTGACCCCGTGAACAACCAGAAGCTGTGTGTGGATGATGCCGTCAAGGAGGGAGTCATTGGGCCGGAAGTCCACGAGAAGCTGCAACAGGCGGAAGGGGCTGTCACGGGCTATAAAGACCCTTACACGGGCAAGAAGATCTCCCTCTTCCAGGCGATGAAGAAGGGGCTGATTGCTGACAAACAGGCCATGCAGCTGATGGAGGTGCAGATGGCTACAGGAGGCATCATTGACCCAACGTGTGGCCACTACGTCCCTGTAGAAGCTGCCCAGGAGCGAGGGTGCCTGGATGAAGACACCAGCAAGGCCCTTTCCAAGCCCAGTGACGACAACAGAGCCTTCTGCGTCCCAGACAGCAAAGAGACTGTCACCTACGCCGAGCTAATCCAGCGCTGCCAGAAGGACGAGATCTCCGGTTTTCACTTGCTGCCTGTGACACAGATGGCAGCTCCTGCCTACACTGACGAACAAATCCAACGGATTTTTAAGGAGACCATCGTGAAGGAAAAAGGGGTGTCCCTCTGGGAGCTGATCCACTCTGGGTACTTCACAGAGCAGCAGAGGAGTGACTTCATGGAGAGGTTCCGGTCCGAGGAGATGTTGCTGCAGCAGCTGGTGGCTCTTGTGCTCAGGCTGGTCGGGGAGATGGAGATGAAAGCCCGCACCCATGTTGCCTTGGAGGGCTTGCGGGGCAGCGTCCCTGTGGTCTGGCTGCTGGATGCCGGCATCATCACCAATAAGATGTTTGAAGAACTGGCTCAGGGCGTAAGAACTCCTGAGGAAGTGGCTGCGATGGAGAGTGTGAAGAGGTACCTGCAGGGCACCGGCAGCATCGCTGGTGTCTTCATAGAGGCATCCAGGAAGAAGATGAGCTTTTATGATGCCATGAAAAATTATCTCCTCCTCCCCGGGGCTGCTCTGAGGCTGCTGGAAGCTCAGGCAGCCACCGGATACCTGATTGACCCAGCGACAAACCAGAGACTGAGCGTGAGGGACGCTGTGAAAGCAGAGGTTGTTGGGGAAGAGCTAACCGAGAAGCTCCTGCTGGCTGAGAGAGCAGTGACCGGCTACACAGACCCCTACACGGGGAGCTCCATCTCACTGTGCCAAGCCCTCCGGAAAGAGCTGGTTCCCCTGGAAGATGCTGTTCCCTTGCTGGAGGCCCAGATGGCCACAGGAGGGGTCATCGATCCCATTCACCACCATCATCTTCCTCTCCGAGCTGCATTCAAGTACAGCTTCTACGACGAGGAGCTGAACCAAACCCTCTCCCAGCTGAATGACAGCACCAGAGTCTTTTTCGATCCAAACACAAAGGAGAATGTGACCTACCAACAGCTGAAGGACCGGTGCATCCACGAGGCTGAGTCAGGTCTCTGGCTCCTTCCTCTGTCGGAAGACGTGATGTTCTGCGTGGATGAGCAAACCATGGATGTGCTGAAATTGGTGATGGTTTGTGTCAACATCGGGCGGTTCAAAGGGCAGACAGTGTCAGTCTGGGACCTCCTGAACTCCGAATACCTCTCAGACAGCAAGAGAAGGGAGTTGGTGCAGAAGTATAAAGACAAGAAGACTGAAGTGCTACAGGAAATCATAACAATTGTCACCACGATCATCAACGAGACTGAGACACAAGGCAGGAAGTTTGGATTCAAGGGCCTGAGGAAAAGAGTATCTGCCAGTGACCTCTTCCAGTCGCAACTGATAGACAAAAAAACCCTCGATGAGCTCAACCAGGGGAAGAAAACAGTCAAAGAAGTCACTGAAATGGACTCTGTCCGCAGGTACCTGGAGGGCAGCAACTTCATCGCAGGGGTCCTTATCCAGCCAAGCAAGGAGAAGATGACCATCTACCAGGCCATGAGGAAGGGCATCCTGAGGCCGGGGACGGCCCTGGTTCTGCTGGAGGCGCAGGCTGCCACCGGCTACATCATTGACCCGGAGAAAAACAAGAAGTTTTCGGTGGAGGAAGCATTCACAGCAGGACTAATTGGAGGGGAGATTTTTGAGAAGCTACTCTGTGCTGAAAGAGCTGTGACGGGCTACACGGACCCCTACACAAAAGCTCCGATGTCCCTGTTTGAAGCTATGAACCAGGGACTGATTGTGAAGAGCCACGGCATCCGCCTGCTGGAGGCCCAGATTGCCACCGGTGGCATCATCGACCCCGTGCACAGCCACCGCATCCCCGTGGAGGTGGCCTACCGGCGCGGCTACTTCAACCAGGAGATGAACCAGATCCTCTGCGACCCCAGCGACGACACCAAGGGCTTCTTCGACCCCAACACCCACGAGAACCTCACCTACATGCAGCTCCTTGAGAGATGTGTCCAAGATCCAGAGACTGGGCTGCACATGCTACAAGTTGTACAAGAAGGAGGAAAATACTTCTACATCGATGAGGTGACCAAACAGGTTTTGCGCTCGCAGCCCCTTAAAGTGAAAGTTGGAAAGTTTAAGGATCAAACAGTTTCCGTCTGGGAAGTTCTCTGCTCTCATTACATCTCCCAGCAGAAAAAGAAAGAACTGGTGATGCAGTACAAATGCAAAACCCTCGCCCTGGAAGATATGATAGCCCTCATCCTCCAGATAATTGAGGACACAGAGCAAAGAGCAGAAGCCCTCAAGGTTAAAGGGCTCCGGGGGGATGTCTCAATATCAGAACTGTATAACTCTGAGATAATTGACAAGAAAACTCTGGATCAGCTGCAGGATGGGAGCCTCACGCTTGCCAGCTTCACAAAGAGGGACACCATCAAAAGGTACTTGGACGGTACCGGATGCATCGCCGGGGTTCTGCTCCCATCAAGAAAAGAGAAGATGACCATCTACCAGGCCCTGAAGAAGGGGCTCCTCACAGAGCAATGTGCGCTGGGTCTGCTGGAAGCGCAGGCTGCCACCGGCTTCCTCGTTGACCCGCTGGCCAACAAGAAGCTCACTGTGGACGAGGCCGTCTCCTGCGGCCTGGTGGGCAGCGAGCTGCACGAGAAGCTCCTGTCGGCAGAGAAAGCTGTGACTGGCTACACAGAACCACACACAGGAAATAAAATATCCCTCTTCCAGGCCATACAGCAAAAGATAACAGACAAGGAGCACGGCATCCGCCTGCTGGAGGCCCAGCTTGCCACTGGTGGCATCATCGACACCGTGCACAGCCACCGCCTCCCCGTGGAGGTGGCCTACCAGCGTGGCTACTTGGATGATGATATGTTTCTCCGACTTTCTGATCCAGATCATGGCAGCAAAGGTTTTACAGACCCAAACACTCACGAGAAAATCAGTTACAGCCAGCTACTACAGAGATGTTCCAAAGACAGAGACACTGGACTGTACCTGCTGCAGGTCATGGAGAAAGAAGACGAGTATTTCTACATCGATGAGCAAACAAAAAAAGCCCTGCTGTCTACAACAGTGCAAGTGTCCGTTGGAAAATACAAAGGACAAGTACTGTCACTGTGGGAACTTCTCTGCTCTGAGTACATCACAGAAGAGAAAAGAAAAGAACTGGTGAAAAAATACAAAGAGGAATCCCATCGCATCCTGCAAGGAATCATTGATATCATACTCAATATCATTAAAGAAAAAGAAGAGGACAGAAGTGATGTCTGGTTCCAGGGACTCAGACAACAGATAACAGCATCAGAACTTCTCAGTGCACAGATAATTACAGAGGAAACAATGGAAAAGCTCCAGGAAGGAAAAGAGACGGCACAAGAAATAGCACAAATGGAAAGTGTGAAAAGATACCTTGAGGGAACGGGCTGCATCGCCGGCGTGCTGGTGCCCTCCAAGGCTGACCCCGCCAAGATGGAGAAGATGACCATCTACCAGGCCATGTGGAAGGGCATCCTGAGACCAGGGACAGCTCTGGTGCTGCTGGAGGCGCAGGCTGCCACCGGCTTCCTCGTTGACCCGCTGGCCAACAAGAAGCTCTCTGTGGACGAGGCTGTCTCCTGTGGCCTGGTGGGCAGCGAGCTACAAAGAAAACTACTTTCTGCAGAAAAAGCTGTGACAGGCTACACTGACCCTTGCACAGGACAAAAGAT